GCATTGGGAGAATTTATAATGGTAAGTATACTTAACCACTGGCGAAATGACCAGAATGCCCAGGGGTGGGTTCCTTGCAAGGCACCGATTTGGTATTAGTTAATACTGGCGCAAAAACATCCCAAATTGACCATCCAATAGGGCGGTTGGTTAGGTGTATTATCATCATACTGCAAAACACCTGGGAATGCCTACAGCAGTTTTCTAAAAGGATAAGGAAGATTTTTTAAGGCCACAGTAACAGGAAAAACTGCAAAATATATTTGAGCAAAAAGTCAAGTGCCAGAACACTGGTCTACTATTATGCTAGCAACTTGTGTAAAAAGAAATTAAACCATTCGTCAGATTCGCAATTCGCCTGCACGCACAAGCAAACGCTAGCAGCGTTTGCCTCTAGCAAGTGGAGAGAATTGCTGGATGGATAGGAAGGAAACTTTTCACTCCATACACCTTTCCACACCTTTAAAAGTCATGACCATGAGAATACATTATCTATTCACAAGAACAAAGAAAATTAAAGAAATACACCACCCACGTGAGCTGCTGCTTAGAGAGACGAAAGGATACAATAGGAGAACAACAAAACTGCCTCAAATCAGCCAGCGGCAGCTGAATACATTCTGTTAAAAAAGAAGAAGATTTCTTCATCACTTTTAGAAGAAAGAAAAAAGACACCTAAAGTCTATAATTATAGTATTATATTTACTGTCAAATTTAAAGAAAACAAAAATCTTTGTTCTGCTCGATAGCATACAGCAAGAATGACAACTCACTCGCCCATGAAGCCAGGGCAGGAAGCCTAAAGGAATGAAACCTGGTGACAGAAAATCATGGGAATTGTGAGGCAGCCCTGCCCCCGGGTGTTGAGGCTTCGATCCTCTGCGACATCACAGCTAATGTGCCAGGCACTGAGTAAAGCCCTTTCCAAGAACTTTGTCAAAGAATGAGCCAAGGATCCTTTGAGGGAAAACCATTGTTATCCTCGTTTTACACATGAAAAGACTGCGGCTCAGAGAGGTTGCACCGCTAGTCCCAGATCACACAGCAGGACTGGTAGAGTCAGTGTGATTAAAAGCCTGTACTCTTAGGCCGGGCGCTGTGGCTCACGCCTGTAATCCTAGCTCTTGGGAGGCCGAGGCGGCGGATTGCTCAAGGTCAGGAGTTCAAAACCAGCCTGAGCAAGAGGGAGACCCCGTCCTATACTATAAATAGAAAGAATCAATTGGCCAACTGATATATATATATAAAAAATTAGCCGGGCATGGGGGGCCATGCCTGTAGTCCCAGCTACCGGAGGCTGAGGCAGAAGGATCGCTCGAGCCCAGGAGTTTGAGGTTGCTGTGAGCTAGGCTGACGCCACGGCACTCACTCTAGCCTGGACAACAAAGCGAGGACTCCTGTCTCCAAAAAAAAAAAAAAAAAAAAGCCTGTACTCTTCACCACCTTCCTCACCTTCTTGTAGACACTTGAACAGAAGCATGCCCATGCAGGGCCGCTTTAGGACCTCCAATAGACCCTCTTACGGAGCTGTGACTCCATCTTATATAATAAAAGCATATCAAAGTACACATGGGTTTGGTATGATTTCTATGACTGGGTAAGAGCTTGGTGGAGTTGAACTGCAGTTGACTAACAGAATATTACATCTTGAGGACTTTGTAAAACATCTTTATCGAGGTATAATTTACATAGCATTCTATGCATCCATTTTATGTGTACGGTCTCATGAGTTTTCGTTGCACAGCTGAGCCACCGTCCCCACGGTCTGGGTTTAGGAGCCTCCTCTCACCCCAAAATGCTCCCTCTGCCCCTCAGCAGTCAATCCCATCTCTCACTCCCAGCTCCAGGCAACCACGGATCTGTTTTAGGTCTCTAAGTTTTGCCTATTCTGGGCATTGCATATAAGGGGAATCATACAATATGTGGCTTTTGTGCCTAGATTCTTTTCACTTGGCATAACAGCTTTGAGGTCCACTTATGCTGTGCGTATATCAGCAGTTCATTCCTTTTCATTGCTGAACAGCATTCCATTGCAGCATTGTGCCCCAGTTTGTCTATCCATTCCCTGGTTGATGGACATTCCCAGTTTTTGACTAATATGAATAAAATTCCTACAAACATTGTTGTCATCACATTTTAGGCTCTGAATGAGCGGGAGTCTTTGCTTCTCTTGAGAAGCTGCGGAGAAGCTGGGATTGCTGGATTATAGGGTCAGTGTGCTTTTTTTAACTTTTTAAGAAATTGCCAAACTATTTTCCAAAGTCGCTGCACCATTTCACATTCACACCAACGATGCATGCGGGTCATTTAGAGGACTTTTAACTAAACACGTATGAATGTCAATCTCTGTTTTCTGTTCTTCTTCGGAGCTAACATGTAAACATATCTATACATTTTTTAGGTTTTTCCCATTTCTGTATAGAGAACAGGTCGCAGGCCGTAGCCCTACGCCCACCTTCGTGCTCAAGGAGTAAAACATCCCACCAGCTAAGCACACTCCACGGTTGGGAAGCCCAAGGCCCGCAGAGAGTCGCCTCGGGGGGGCGGGGCTGGGGGCGGGGCCGGAGGGCGGGGCTCGTGGTGAGCCGAGGGGGTGGGCACACGTTCTCCAGCCCCGCCCACTCCGCGCCGCGCTCCGGCTCGGGCCCCGCCCACCCTGCAGGCGGCCGCGCCCCTGAGGGGCGGGGACAGGGAGGCGCGCGCGGCTCCGGCCCCGCCCAGCCCGCTCTGGCCTCCGGCTCCCTCTCGGGTCCGCCGCGCGCGCCTCGCAGGGCACTATGGCCGGGCTGGTGGCGCTGCTGGGCCCAGCGGGCAGGGTGGGCGCGCGGGTCCGGCCCCGCGCCGCCTGGCTCCTGGGCGCCGCCGCCGCGCCTGCGCCCGCCCCGCCCCGCCCCCGGCCTGCTCCGGCCGGGCCGGAGTCCGGTGCTGCCGCACGGCCGCGGGGACCGCCGGCCACCAGGTAAGCTCCCACCCCGCCGCATCCCGGGCGGGCGGCACCTGGCCGCCAGGGCTCTTGCACTTGCCGGGCCCGCGCTTCGGGGAGCCCCAGCCCAGATCTCGACAAGCGACGGAGCGGTCCTCCCAGGTGACAGCGGGAAACGAGCTCGTGGAGTCTGGCGCTGGCCCAAGGTCGCGTCGCGGCAGACCGGGTCTACCGGGCCGGCCGGCCCGGGTGCGCGCACAGGATGGGGGGCACCCCAGGAACTCCCCCGCGCGGGAGCGGCCCCGGGCGCGGCTCCGGGGCGCTGTGCTGCCTGCGACCGGCCGCTTTGGTTTCCTCCCGGAGCACTGCGAGAAAACCGGTTCCATTCGGCGCGGCGATACAGGCCATACTTTGTTAAACGTGTCCGTTGTTTAAAAGTGGGTCTCTCTTCCACTCTGCCTCAGAAAAGCTGCTTTCCTCGC